TTCAGTTTGTGGTGTTCTTAGGGTTAATTTGTTCGGGGTGATGTTAGTGTTGTTTGTTTCAGTTCAAAGTTCATGTTGTGTTGTTCTTATTTGGTGCCTGTTGGCACCGTGAGTTAACTATGTGTGGGGGGATGAAAAGAGTAGCCATCCGGCTATTAAAGAGTTCTATGTCAGCTAACTCTCGACTCTTCTTTGCTGCATCACACACACACCCCGCTAGAGGGCGGCACAGACCACTACATTGGTGTCAGAAGTGGGATCAGCGCTGTCAAGAAAGACAGAAAAGATGCAGCAACTCGAGCGACTTGACAGAGAGAATAGCAAGCTGGAAGAACAACTACGGATGGGCAAGAGAGCGAGGACACCGCGCCAGCCGGATGGAACCAGCGATCCGCAGTTAGCCCGGCACCCGCGAGAGATGCGCTCAGCGGAAGCGCCCACAATCCCGGCACCAACGGTGCTGAGAGACGGCGGCAATCGTACACCGGTAAAACTCCCAAGATTGAGCGGCGCCACACCCCTTGTACCCTTCCTCGCTCAAGTAGGGCTGGCGGCTTTACATGAAGGATGAAGCCAACAGGAGACAGCGGTCCAGGTGGTCCTGGCCTTGGAAGGAGGAGCACTTCAGGTCCTGGTGGACCTAGCATCGGAAGAGCGACACGATTGGCAAGCTATCACGGCTGCACTGAACAGACGCTTTGGGAAGCAAGCCTCAGGAAAGCAAAGCTGAAAACAACTGAGCAGCAGACGACACTGCCACGGAGAAAGCCTGATAGGCCAGCAAGGCCGCATTGCATTCTGGGGGGAGGGTAAATTGGGGTTGTTTATTCAGTTTGTGGTGTTCTTAGGGTTAATTTGTTCGAGGTTATGTTAGTGTTGTTTGTTTCAGTTCAAAGTTCATGTTGTGTTGTTCTTATCCGGTGCCTGTTGGCACCGTGAGTTAACTGTATGTGTGGGGGGATGAAAAGAGTAGCCATCCGGCTATTAAAGTGTTCTATGTCTGCTAATCAATCAATCAATCAATCAAAGCTTTATTTATAAAGCGCCTTCCGCAACCCTGTCAGGAAGCCCAAGGCGCTGAAGGAAGCCCAAGGCGCTGAGGCGCTAACTCGACTCTTCTTTGCCGCTTCACACACACACCCCGCTAGAGGGCGGCACAGACCACTACAATATTTATATTGAGACTGACCCCTTCTTTCCACCAGAGCCGTCAGCAGCACGTTACTGCAGCAGCACGTCATAGCTGCTGATAGGAACCGCTGTGGTCAACAGAACCTTTTCTACCAGAGCCGTCAGCAGCGCGAGTCGGCCGCGTCTCAGGAGCAGCATGTCGCGGCCTTTACGCCCCGGTTCTATTTTCTACCCGTGACACATCAGAAACGGGTCAAGTTAGACATTTTTGGGGAAGGAAAGACAGGAAATCGGACGCGGAGACGGAGCGAAGCTTCCCGAGATTTTCATAATAAAGAAACGTACTACCTTCCGGTTGCTTTATTTAAAAAAAAGTTACCAACTGTGCGCCCTGTGAGAAGTTATCACCTAGCTAGCGGTCTCCTTTGTTTTTCAGGTCCGTATGGGCGATTACAACGGACAGAACATAAAACACAAGCCTTTTGGAGCCATGTTGCTTGTTGTTGCGTTTACTGACGAAGTCACTCGTGTCACTTCATGCTCTGTCGGTGACAGCTGCTCCCCTGCTGCTTCGCGTCTCGTGAAAAGGGCCAAGCAGCAGCATACGTGAGCAAGACGTGCTGCTGACAGCTCCGGTGGAAAGAAGGGGTATTACGTATAAAATATAACGTTGTCTCCAGTGTCACGTAACGTTTGGTGATTGCCGTGGAAGCCCCAGTCACGTGATGCAAGTCTTCCATTTAACCGTTTTCTTTGACCAAGAAAGGACAGTATCCTCGTAAGTAAGGTGCCTGGCCTCGCAAGACATCGCCTCGCAAGGCCAGGCGCCTTGACATTGAGAAACACCCTGGGTCTTCCTTGAACACGCCTAATAAGGTGTTATGTCGATATGTGTTCCCCCCTCGAGATCTGTTTCTTTTGCGCCCAGCTGTGTGTTTGCAAAAAATGTGTCCTAACCCTTAACCCACATGTGTCAGACACAAGGCCCGCGGAGCATTTTTATGTGGCCCGCAAGATAAATATCAAAAATATATTAAAACTGGCCAGCTGGCCGATTTAACCGCAAAGACTTCAACTCCCATGATGCTTTGTGGCATCAGCGCGGAGCCGACGCGCCCCCTCCTTTGTGTTTTTTCCAGCGTCTGCTAGGGCTGTCACGGTTGAGGAATTCCCCCTGCGGTGATTCAGGGTGGCTTAATATTGCGGTGTGCGATATTATTGCAGCCCTTTTTTATTGCAGTACTATCTAAACATAATGTTTACACATTTAAAAAAGGTTAAAAATTGCCGTGCTTTCTTTAATAACACTTTACTGAATGCAGATCAAAGGGCAGTAACAACACAGATCGCAGTAACGCTTGTTTCTCCGACAGTCGGAGTCCGACTGAACTTAAAAACAACAACATTCAGGAGAAGGTTAAACTTTTAAATGCAAATTTGGCTGCAGCATCTAACAAATAAGAAACAAGTCCCCATTTTGTTTAGTTGTTTAAAATCAAGCATAAAAAATTACATGTACCGGGCGCGCGCGCGCCGGGGGGCGGGCGCACTATCATTTCACTTTCACACACACGAATGACGGTGATTTATAGCTCGGTCACGTCCTTGTTACCTACAAGGAAAACCAGCATGTTAACTACGGTTTGAGAGAGGATCTGAGAGGGGTGGCAACATTTGCAGCAACACTGAAAACCCTCTCGGATGGTGCGCTCGTTGCACTAACACACACGTACTTGCGTGCGACTCTGGCGAGCAAAGGGAATCTCTCCCGGTTGTTGCTCCACTGTGTCACGGGGTTTTTCTTTAGGGTGGATGCATTCCTCCTGCAGGTAGCGAGTGAGCTCCAGCTCGGCTCAAACTCTCTTTGGGACGGCTGCAGAAGCAGTGCTTGTCCGGGACTTCAGCAGGTCTCCGAGCATTTATTTATTTATTTTTGCCGCTGGTGGCAGCTCTGTCTCGGCCAAGGACTCTGGCTGCGCAGCAGCTGACGTACTGAAAACCAAAGCGCTCCCAAAGGAGCGAAGTAACGTTTCGTTTTGATACCAGTGCAGCCATCCTTCTCAACATGCATCATTGAGTTGAACCAAGTTCAGTAATCGCGGTGGCGCATGATGCAGCGCGGTGGGCTTCTTCATATCACGATATTTCATTTTTGCGGTTACCGCGACAGCCCTAGCGTCTGCTGCCGGTGTCTGCAGCTCCGCTGTCTCGGACAAACTAAACACTCCTCTCACTCAGCGCCGAGTTCACTCAGCTATTTTCTGACGTTGAAGCCCAGAAACGGAGATTCTAGCCGCTCAGTAATGTGTTCACGGCTGAAAGAGAAAGTTTTCTAACTAACGTCCAGACAGAGCTGATATAACTCCAGCGAGCAGCGACACGCTCAAACCAGCATGACTCTGTGGTTGCAGTCGTTGTGTTTCCTCCCCGACACACAACAACGTGGTCAAGCTGCTCAGACATGTTCAGCAGCACAAACCTATGTGAGCACCTGTTGTCATCTAATGTTGTCATTATTATGATGAAGATGAACAAAACAACAGGAGTCTCCTCCTCAGCTCAGATCAAACCCATGATGCAGGTATCTGGCTGGAACAGGTGAGCATCACAGTAAACCAGTGGAGCAAACTGAGCTTTAAATATGTTGGTTTTATGCTCTTTTTCTGCTCCAAAACATGAAAGTTAACAGGTGAGATATTGCATTTTCATTTAAGATAAAATGATATTTTTATTTTGTTGTTGGCCCGTGAGAAAAGATTTAACCTACAGTAAACAGGAAGTGGAAAGGCTGCAGATAGATGAATAGAACAGAAAATCCCTTTATTGTTGCTCAGTGGGGAAAGCTAGATGTCACAGCAGCGATGACACTTATTACAGGAGAAAAAAAGGAGAATAAAACATAAGAAAAATGAATAAAGAAAGCATTAATCCTGAATAGATTTTAAAAATGCTGAATATACCACAAGTAATGAATACCACTGATGCCTTTTATTTAAAACTGATTTGCTCGTGTGTAATTTGGTTATTCCACATTCAGTGTTAATGCAGAAATATGTTTGTTTCCCAATTTAAAGGTTCAAAATTGCAAAAATTCTTTATTGTTGATAAAGAAAATGTGCAATTTTGCCGTCCCTTTTTCAAAAAATATTAAGTTTGGCCCTCGACTCCATCCCAGTTTCATCTCGGCCCCATGTGAGTTTGAGTTTGACACCCCTGCCTTAACCCCAACCCTTTCCCTAACCACAACCCTGAAACAAACATAACAATTGTGCTACATGTAATATTTTCAAAAATTATGCTTTTGCAAAACATACATTTTTGGTGACAGCGTGGTTATGTTTTTTTTTTTTTGTGATTGGGTCGTCTCCACTTGCAGCTGGGTGCAAAAGAAACAGATCTCTAGGGGGAACACATATCGACATAACACCGGTACTGTCAGCGCTGTACTGCTAATGCCAGTAGATAACCAAAGTCAGTGAAATCCAGCTAGCATTAGCATTTACGCTAAGTTCAAATGTAGCATTAGCATTTACGCTAAGTTCAAATGTATCATCACCGTATTGAATCTTGACTGTGATACTGCTCGTTTTCCCATCCCACAGTTGTGTATGTTTATCACCACCGACCATCTGGTACGTTGGAAAGTAAACTGATGCTTACGTTAACGAAAACAACGGCTACGTTCCTTCGTTAGCTCAATATGCTAATGCTAAATAATCGGTAGAGGAAACGTTACATGACCCGATGCAGAAGCACAATTACTGGACCCACCCTAGTCTCTTAAGTAGAATCTTTCACATATATAAGAAGGCGGAAATTGAGATAGACATCCTGCAACGTTCTCTTTGGGACGAAAACATGGGTCTTACCTTGATCCTGGTTAAATCCAGCATAAAGAAGCCCATTTCCATGAGGATTCGAGGGCAGTAAATTCATTCTTCTCCCAGAATTATTGACTGTGGCTAGAAGTGAATCCAACACCAGCTGTCTGCGCTACCCCTTTCTCATTCCGGTTGAGTCTGCTGGATAAAGGAAGACAACCGGAGCTGCTGCCTGCTGCTGCTCACATCCGCGGACAGGCAGAGGGAGTTGAGCCAGACAGGACTACCGCGGTTCAGCCGGACCTAACCCACACCAGCTACATGCACATTGCACTGTTTCCAACCAGAATCCCTGGCTAAAACTTTTAGGTTCTCGTTTTGCTGACAACGCTCCCTGGTTGGGAAAAGAAGTAAATAAATAAATAAACGTATCTTGCTACCACGTCTAGATTAGGTACCGGAAGTCCCGAGTTCCATCCGGGGTTGACTGAAACAGGCTGCATCAATTCATCACATTTCCATAACATGTGGCATTAATGCAGCTCTGTAAAAACTAAATGTCTGTTAAACCAACTGTAGCACAGCCATGTTTACTCCACTGTCATTTACTTAACAAACCTGTATAAACTTGTTTTCATTACAAACAAAACACTACAACCCACTCAATCAATATGCAACACCGTTTTATTCAAGAAAATTTATTACTTTTAATCACACATACAAATCTTTTGTAGCGCTACAGCAAATGTGTAAAATATGATACAATTCACAACCCCATTAAACACTTTCTAATAAACCATTTGTGGCAACCACAGATGCAGCACAATATAAAAAATATGCTGAAGAAACTGAAAAGTTTGTTTAAAGTATACATCCTGCCTCATGTTCTAGTACAGATGAAGCTCAGCCCTAACCACCATCACAAGGACCTCACTGACAGATGTATGAGGATTAGTTTCATACCAGAACTAAGCATGAACCAGTCTCCTGTGTCGTTTTAGGCCATGCAAACTTGAAAAGCCCTTGCTACACACAGCACAGACATATGGCCTCTCTCCGGTATGGGTCCGCATGTGTAGCGTAAGAAAACATGACTGGACAAACCCTTTTTCACAAATGTTACATTTGAAAGGTCTTTCCCCGGTGTGGTATCTTCGATGTATCTTCAGCTCTGCAGCAGACCTGAAACACTTGTCACAATCGTCACACTTGAAAGGCCTTTCGCCTGTGTGAATCAACGTGTGCCTGACCAACGCATCCTTGCCGAAGAAGCCCTTTCCACAGTGCTCACATGGGAAACGCATTCCTTTGTGATGGAAATTATCATGTTTCAGAAGGCACCTCCTGGAAGAGAAGGTCTTCCCACACTGTGTACAGGTGAAAACCGGCATGGGTTTCTCCATCGCAGGTTCTCCAGAGTGATGCACACGTTCTACGTGTCTCGTCAGAGTGACGCTATGCCTGAACTTCTTGCCACATTCCCAGCAAAGAAAAGGATAAGCTTTAGTGTGTTTCTTTTGGTGCTCTACAAGATCAGAGTAGGAGCGAAACCGTTTAGAGCAATGGGTGCACTGAAAAGGCTGGTAACCAGTGTGTTTCCACTCATGTCTGATAAAACGCTTCAAACTAGCAAATGTTGTCTCACAGTAGGGGCAAGTAAAAGGCTCAGTGGGGTTGTGAATATCAATGTAATGTTTATGAAGAGCCTTGAACACAGGGAAGTTCTCCTCACATCTGTTACACTGAAATGGTGTATGGGACTCTTTGTGCATGGCCAGAGCGTCTGAATCACGTACTAACTTCATACATACCTCACAGTACAAGGGGTTGTGTGTCTGTTTATGGGAATCCAAAGTTGACTTGTATTTGAACGCCTTTTTGCATTCATCGCATCTGAAACAGTGTTTAATATCTTCTGGGTTTTCGGGATCTACTTGCTGCTCATTATAGCAAATATTTCTTAAATGAAATCTAAATGTTTGTCTGCACTTGAACTCAACGCTGCAGTGAGGACAGTAAAATGGACCTTCCAGTGAGTTCTTATCATCATCAAGGCTCTTTTCTTCCAATTCCTGTGAACACCCCTCTGCAGAGGGTAGGTCTTCTGGGTTCTGGGCAGAGCCATCCAGGGGATGCTCTTTATCATATACCTCAACAAGAATCCCACTGGACGACTGCTCAACCCTCCCTGCCGTCTCTTCCTCTGCACCTTTTTTGTCAGGACTTACTCTAGCTGAAACTGTACATTTGTGCTGTTGCAAGAAGCGCAAACTCTTATAAAACCTTTTGCACACAGTACATGCGATGGGCAGCTTCTCTGAGTGCTGGTTCATGTGTCGCTGTAAGAACTTGGCCTTACTCACCACCTTACCACACACTTTGCATGTTCTCTCATTGAGGTTGTTACTTGTAGCTGAACCTGGGGAACTAGGATCGCTGTCCTGAGTCTTGTCTGACTTTCTCCACTGTGACAAGTACCTTTTCATTTTAAGCCCTCTGTTCTTTCGCACTGGTCTCTCCAAGATGTCGGTTTCTGAAGCTACGTTAAAGCCCCTTGATCTGCTTTCACCTTTGAAGTCTTTGTCTGCAGGGTGTTTTTTTTTCCTACCACGCCTGTTTGACTTCTTTGCCCCACCGTCCAGCACAGTCACCTGGCCATCCTCCCCAATGATCAGTGTCCCAGATGGATCATTGTGGTCATCTGCTATTTCCTCCTCACTGGCTTCAACACCTCCAGGGGCATCTGTAACCACAACACTGTCTATTTCTGCCTTCACCTCACCACTAATGCCAAACCACTGGGGCTGTGCAGACTCAGATTCTCCATTTCCTTCAACGTACACTTCTTTGTTCTCAGATTCCACCTCCATTTCTGAACACACTGTATACACAAGGCTGTTCTCTGCATCAGTTTCTGTTGGTTCATTGACAATCACAACTCTTTCCACAGGAGGGAGACACAGAGCTGACAAGATGCCACTGTCAACAGCATAAGACTCTGAAAGAGAGAAAAAATAAAATGTAAAAAATTACATGAAATAAGTTTACAACTTTATTAATGAGACAGACACTAAACTAGTATGTTCTTGAGACAGCTTTACGCCCAGAACACACCAGACGCGGAAGCGCTACGACGCGCCGTGGAACGACGAGCACTTCAAATGGGCGCCCTTGTTAACCTACGCTCTCGGTTGCATCAGCTGCAAAGCACCACAAAGGCTCGCACCGTGCAGCGATCGTTTCAGCATGCGCTCGAATTTTCCCTTGAGTCTCAAATGAGCCGCGTCAATTCTGGCAGGAAGTCAAACCAAAGCAGAAGGGGCAGGCCGGTAAATTTAACAAAATAAAGACATTTTTCAAAATAAAATGCCACGATTGATAAATGTGATCATTTCTGTGTATCTGAACAGTTTAGAGATGAAAATGAACACACACACACTCACACACACACACACACACACACACACACACACACACACACACACACACACACACACACACACACACACACACACACACACACACACACTCACTCACTCACACACTCACTCACACTCACTCACACACACTCACACTCCTGCAGAAAAACAGTGTTTCCATAATGCTATATGCTGATTTTACAGCAAAAGACGGATTTAACAAATGTGAATACAGTTAAATACGTTGAATTCAAAGGCAATAGTATAGTAGACTACCACGAACACTAGTTATTTACATAACCATTCAGAACAGAACTGGTCTACAAAACTGCAGCAGGAAAAACAGTTTCTGACATCAAGAAGCAGGGCAAACTAGTTACACACGTACACCTACACAGCAAGGGCACGGGGGTGGGGTGGGTGTGAGCAGTAGCGCTCTTCGGAAATTCTTGCCTGATATGAACAGAGGAGCAACAGGCAGCGCACAAATTTCGTGAGCGATCCACTTCACGGCGCTTCGTAGCTGGTGTGTTCCGGGCGTTAGGGTGTAATGTCCAACTTACCGATGTCTTCTAACTGGATGAGATTTTTCTGAGTCTCCAGCAAGACTCTGAGATCCTGAGGTTGGACCAGTGTCTTCAATGACTCATTCAGAACAGTTTTGGTGTCGGTGATTAATGAAGCGATCTGACTCAAACACAAACAAAACAAATCAATGTTAGACATCTTTGCACACGACTCATGACAGATGATTTGCTTTTTACAAACTTAGCCCAAATGTCCTCTCAAATAGGAGGGAGGGGGTGATATGACCCAAAATTAATATTATAGTTCAGGGTATTCTGACAATAAAATAAATCTGATGACAAAGTACAAAAAAAGTATGTTTATCTTCGTTCATCGCTTCTTGTGCAGTAGTGCCTGTAAAATTTATTATTTTTTTCCCAAAGTCCAATTTTTCTGTAGCATTTATCAATTTATTATCAAATGTATTCTCAATTCCTTATTTCAATTATTTTGGTATTTATAAAGGAAATTAATAATTCAACAAATCAGTAGCCACAGAATTAAACATGTTAGGGATGCTCCGGTCATGTGACTGGAAATTGGGCCTGATCATGTGATTTTCAAAGGATATAAAATCAGATGGAGAAGATCTGATATGACCAAGAGGCCATTTTGGTCTGAACTTTTTGAAGCCAACAAGGAAGTGATTAAAATTGCTGTTCCACCATCATCCACTAGGGGGGTGAAACCAGAAGCGAGCAAATCCTCATCGACTCCCATGTTAAAAAAGCCAATTTCACAGCAGAAATAAACATGTTTACAGCCTCGCTCAAAACACCATTTTAGGTTAAATAGAAATAGTTTACACTCATGACAGCCCTGAGCGGGGTGAACTCTTTTGTTTGAGTGTAATTTACTGCTTAACAATCTGAAGGATTAATGCAGAGCCAAGTCAAAGCCTGGGAACTAGCTCCGGTGAAAGGCCTCGGCCTCAAGTTAATAGATGTTTGGCCATTTCGACTCTCTGAACTATAGTTGTGTGTGTGTTTTTTTTTTTTTGGGGGGGGGGGGGGTGTCTCTCTCTATATATATAAATCTCACTAACAGATCATCCAAGCGGTTTCTGCTTCTTTTTTTATCAGTAAGTAAATTTATACTCCTGCACTTTATTTGCTGGTTGAATGGGGAAATGTTGTCATGTCAGTGGGGCTGCTGGCTTGAGCGGGTGCTCAGCTTCTCCTGTCTCCTGCCTAGGAACCGTTGTTAGAGCAGGCGGCTGGCTGTTCCCGGTTTCCCAGGGCAGCCAGGACACATGGACCGGCTTCGATGTGAGGTTGTAGTCATGCTGGTCACTTGTGGATCTCTAAAGAAGACCACAGAAACACTGCAGCTCTTTTAGTTGACGCTTCACTTTTGAGTCACTCAACCGCATTTTTCTCGATAATTGTTGGCTGGTTGAACGGGGGAAAATTCTATGAGTTTACCCATTTTAGACCAAGCAGTGTCTAAGATGGGTTCAAATATAATGTGTTGGTGTGGCTGCAGGGTAACGAAACTAGAGCTACATATCTGACTGAGGACAGCGGAGGCTATCGAGCTTCGCTGTTCCACCGCGGTGAAAGATCTGCGAGTCCGCCATTGTCGACGTTCACAGCTCTGGGATGGTCGACACAGCGCTGGTACCTGTTAGCTGAGTCGACACTCCCGTCTCTGGCCAGGAGTGAAACATGGGAGCCAAGACGATAATCAAACTCACAGATCTTTGACCACAGTAGACCTGCAAAGCCCAATATTCTCAGCCAGCTTGCCTAGTTATGATTTCGTTACAATGCAGGCCGGAGGTGCCATCACTTTGGAATCGCTCTACTGTGTTTTTTTTTTTTTTTTTTTTGCTAAAAACTCTCAGAAAAACTCAGTTAGCTTTGGTTTAGCAAGTAGCTAATTTCCTGTTGATTTCCAGCCGTGGAGCCTGAGCTCCTGTAAAAGGCCAGAGTGCCCGGCTTCCATTGCAGCTGTCTGAGACTCTGCTTGTAATTTAACAGTGCCAGTCCATATTAGATCTCCACAGGCAACCAGCATGACTACAGCCTCACACAGAAGACAAGCGGCCACGCAGTTTGGCAGTTCATACCAAGTTGACGCAACACACCCATTCACTACCAACACTGCACATGGCTGCCTGTGTTAACCAACTTAACTCATTCACTCGTTCACTCATTCGACTTTAGTCGTCATTTGCATTTTTTTACTGTGTGGGCGTTGGAACGAGCCCCTGCACCATGAAAACAAACATCTCAGCTCTAAAGCCGATCTTCATCCATGTACGTCACATTTCATGTGATCAGGAAGCAGAAAATCCATGTGTTAGGAGATCGTTTTGGGCCGCTGCTGTAAAAAAAGGTGAGGTGCGAACCGGAAAAGCTTCTGCCGATCACAATTCAACAACAAATTATGAAAGAACGGATAAAGCTCGAAACGCGCAGATTCTTCCTGATGTAAGAGGTGAGTCTACTCTTTGTTTTGGTAGTTTTGGTGTCGACATCATCCTTGCGCGCAACGTTCTGTGAATTAAAAAAAACTGTAAAATGCTGAAAAATGCTGGCAGTGAATGAGTTAAGGAGTTAAGCACAGACTTCTCTACATGTCATTTTCCCCATCCACATGCTCAGAGACATCCGAGAATAGGGCTGCAACGATTCATCAAAATTGTTGACAAATATCAGTAGTGGAAATAGTCGACAATGATTTTCATTGTCGAAGTTGTCGCCAGATGTGTTTTCTTTCCGACCGAGTGAGGCACCTCACTTCATTACAATCTCTGCTGAGAGTCGCACATGCTTGTGTGACCAGGTGGAGTAACGAGGGACCGGGCGGGATTCGATCCCCAGACTCCCGGGTGAGAGTCATGCACGCTAACCAGTCAGCCAAAGGGACATCCCCTTGGCCAAGTAGCCAGGGCGCATGATCTATCGGGACACAGTGACAGGACGCTCACACTGTCACATCTTCCCCCCTCTTTCCACAACCACGTCCTCGTGCTCCTGCGCAGGGTGCCACTGTTGTGGTTCTGTTGTGTTCATGACAGTTAACAGTGAGTAAGTCCACTCACTGTTATGTTTGATGCAAAATCAATTTTTATTTTTCTATTTCTAGCAATTTTGATAAATTTTAGCATTTTAGAACACGGAAGGACTAATTTGGGTCCAATTTTTTATTGTGCTTCATTTTACTTACTAATCTCTATTTCCTACTGTGGTGACCTCACATATAGGTTTTATTACTAACAACACTGATTTACATTTGAGTGTTTTATCCTCCACTAGTAGCTGTGTTACTGATTCTTTAAAGAGGTACTCACAGATATATTTCTACATTATTTCATTTCAGCTGATTTCTTTTCGTCATTTCTATTATAATCTATTTTAATTTGATGTTTACCAGTTATGGGCTACAGTTTATTTTGCCCTTCTGTTTAGATAACTTTTTGCTCCAAGCATTGATTTCCCTTACATATATTATAGGGTTATGTGATTTTGTTCTTTTTACATCATTTTTCAGTATACGTAGTTTACTGCATCCATTTCTATCACCTGAACTCCGGTCACATAATTAGCTTCACATAGCACATCCAGGGTTCATATAATTACTTCACATAATACATATAGGCACATATAGTGCTACGGTTTTTATTTTGTTGTTGTTTTGCATCAGACGCCATCCGTGTGTGTCTACATTGAAATGCCCTGCGTCTGCTCTTCTTCTCCTCTGGGTTCGCCTGTGATCGTCGCTTCCTGGGAGGGTCTCTACACCATCGCCTGATTTGGCTGCCTGCTGACTGAGGGTTCGGTTCGTGTGGGTCTGGACGTCCTGTGGTTCCTGCCGTGCTTACGGGAGCTCTGCGGTTCGCCTGGGGCCTGGACCGGCCTCTGGTCTTCTGTTTACCTTCCTGATAAGTGGATTACTTATTTTTGTTGTTTATGGAGCTACATTGACCATTCTCGGGTGTGGGGGTTTGCTTTCCTCACTCCAGGGGTCTTTGCCTGGAAACTAACCTGTGCTTCCTCGACTGAGTCCCTAGGGCCTCTGACTTGGTCCAACGACCTGTGGTTTCTGCCAGGACCCCGTGCCCTTGGAAAGGGGGGTCTGTAGCGTCCAGCAATGGTCAGTTTAGGTACAGCCTGACCTTCCACCATCTATTCAACATCTGGTCATTAAGGAGACACAACATTGCATGTGTTCCCTTTAAACAAGTCTGCCATCACACCAGCTGGGATTCAGACTCCACAAGTCTGAATCATAACATTAACTTACTTTCCTCAAGGTCTCAGCTCCAGAAGAAAGCAGACCCAGCTCGGATCAGTTGCTAAATGCAAGAGTTATTATAATAAACTTCTTCTATGACTTTTAATCTATTTAATCATTAAATAAACATTTGCTTATTATTACTTGTGGTAAAATAGTATAATGAAGTGAAATGCTTCATTACTCTAACTCACTGAGTGTTTATCTACTGGACGGTGTTCACCATGTTTTGACGACAAGGTCCTTCACAAGAACAAGTACGGCTAAGTTAAATTCATTCCACATAGCTAGACCTTTCACACAGATCAGAGTCTCCGTATTAAAGAAGGCGTGTTTCTGTGTTGCCTTGGTAACATCAACTTTCCTGTCAGCCTCTGATTGACTGCCCAAATCATAACAGCTAAACTTTAAAACTACAACAGACTGAGAGTTCTTCAGTACTGGAGAGTTCGCTCAGACCGGCCATCTGTTGCAAGACCTCTACAACCATCAAAGGTTTTGACACGTCATCAAAACCTTTTTGCACCTGCAGAGCTGATGAGAAACACTTCCTGCAGAACAAAGCTGAATTGTTGTTCACAAGCGGATTCCATCCTGTATTGCCTGTTGACATCTTTTAGACCAGGGAAAGTCGCTACCGTGTGGTTATAGTACTGGACCTGGGTGCCCCGAGGTCATCTGACCTCCCTGACCTCCGGATCCTGACAAGGGTCAGCAAAAGGGCAAGTAGAACACAGAGATTGCGTCTGGATGCATTTTGATGGTAATAACTTTATAAGCTTAACGCACTCCAAATTCATTTCACCAGAACTCAGCTTCATTTGATAAGGAAGCTCTGATCGATATCACATCTACACACTGGTTACTTCAGCACCTTAGTTCCACTCATTCACCTTAAATGCTTAATTCATTAGTCATGTTTTAAATTGTTTGTAAAAGAAATTCTTACTTTTATAAACTTGACTCTTTCTTGAAGTAACACGAAGCGTGGTTGATCACTGAAAAAGCAAAGAACCAAGATCTTCTGAATCAAATCCTAGAATCTTCTGAATAATTACAATAAAGACCTCACAGGTTAATATTTTATATTTATATTGAATATTACAAATTCGTGGTCATAACAGATTAAAATCATCAATTTGTAGACGCTACATTTATATTTTTGCCGCTGCGTGCCTAAACAGTGTGAGAGAAGGGAGGGAGGGGCGACGCGACGCTGGGGTCCATGGGTGAACGCTCGGCCACCAGGGGCTTGCTAACGTGCCCCACCTCCAGGCCTGGAGGGGCCCCGGTGACCTGCGACTTGGCGAGGGAAGACGGTGTCCATTTATATTTTTCTTCATAAGGGGTCTGTGGGCTGCACTCGTTTAAAAGACACACGTGCCAGCAGATCAGTGTAATATTACCACAGCTGTGTGTCTTACAACTGCGTCATGCCAGCATGGCGATGCGTGAATTTTGCTGCATTCGTTCCATCTGGCTTGGTAGTAATACTGCAGTACTTGTCTGTCTTATAAATGGCAAGTGCACCTTGACGCAACAGGGTGGCGTCATGATCACATGGGGAGTTACTGCTGAGCTCTGAAAATCAAAGTAAAAACAGGCTGCAAGTTTAGCTTTTACAAACAGAATAAACTGAGATTATAACCTGGAGATTGCAGCGCTCCTGGAGCTTTTCTCCGTTGGAGCTGGAGGTCAGATCAGCAGAGACTGCACTGGGACAGACACCTTCAATGTGTGCGGCTTTGATAGCAATAAAAAGCAAGTTATGTCCAAGATAAACATAAGTCCGCGGCAATGTAGAGACTCACCATTAGAGCTGAAACAACTAATCGATTTAATCGATTATAATCGATTATTAAAATAGTTAACTTTTTTAGTCATCGATTAGTTGTTTAATAATCACATTTTACCGCATAAAGTCTATTTTTACCACAATCTGACATCGGTTACAATCTGTTCTGTGTGGCAGTAATGAGCCACTGATCTACCAGTGGAGCCGTGGAAGAAGAAACGAGCCAATAAGTGCCCTCGGTTTTCATGACGTAACACGTTACTGACGCTCATCTTGCTGTGAGAGATGGCGGAACAAGAAGAAATACAGAAGAAAAATAGAAGCGACAATACTGAAGAGAAACCCCGGACAAAAACCTCACGAGTATGGGAGCACTTCACTCTAGATGCCATGAAAAGACGGGTGACCTGCAAAATATGCAAAAACCATCTAGCATGGCACGGAAGCACAATGTCCCTAAGTGAACATTTGAGATGAAAACATGTGGGGGCTGATGCAGCAGAGGAAGCGCCAGCCCGGTAAGTAACAGAAAATAAACAAGCTAAATATAGTGGTCCATCACTACACGCAGATCAAATGTGGGACTTAGTGTTTTAGCTGAGTTCGTTATAGTGGATGTTAAACATGTTTTTTTGCCGCGTCAGTCTACGGTGTTCTACTTCTGATTGACTAGATGCAATCGTGAATCTCCTCCGTGTTGTGTATCATGCGCTCGCCAAATTTAGCACGTCTGTTTATAAGAATGTTCTCGTTAAGAGAAAAACGGCACAAACCCATAACTATGTTCCTCATTCAAAAAAGGACAACTCCGCGGTGAAAAATATACAGACGAGCTGTGTCCAGGTGAATATAACGCTGCATAGTTGTACGCTTTCAATTTTTAAATACAGGAGAAATTCAGAAAGTCATTTTTTTTACTATTAAAAGGCTTTTTTTTTACTGTCTAACGCTGTAAAACGCCTCACAACACATTTTTGTCAAAATAAATGATCACTGTATATTGTTAATTAATTCAAATAATATAATATTGATTTAGTGTTGTAGTGTGTGTGCTGCTTTATTTTATATGTGTACTTATTTCAGTCTATTTGTGTTTCTCATGCAGAAAAAAAAAACAAGCAACGATGGACAACTACATGGGGAAACAGACACTCACCCTCCAGCAATGCATACCACTTACAAACTCTATTCTAGATTCTACATTATTTTTTATGGAATTTACCTCTTATATTTTGATGCCAAAAAATTATTCTGGGCTGATATTTTGCACTGTTAAGCTCATTTTACACCGCTGACTGTGTTCATGTGCAATAAAATAGATTGCAGTCAACTGCACAATTCTGTTTTTCTTTTTCTTAACTGAAATGTATTCATCACTAGTATAGGTTAAATAGCTAAACAATAACAAACCGATTAATCGAAAAAATAATCGACAGATTAATCGATTATGAAAATAATCGTTAGTTGCAGCCCTACTCATCATACCGCCTTTTTTCGGCCATTGCTTAATCTTTGTGAACAAAACATGATTGCGCAACATTACCCCCATGTACTGATCACTTAGAAACGACCAATGTTCTCTGATGCCTTTTTGTCGTTGTAATTGGACCCGTTTGACATGGATGATTCTACCAGAGGCATAAAGCCTCAGACAACTTAGCTCCTAGGATCATTGAGACACTCAAACCCCTTCACCACGATAAAGTGGCAGGCCCTACTCTTGAGTAAAATTTTTAATATTTATCGTTTATCGCAACAAAGCCCTGAAATACTGCAGCATTAGTTTTAGGTCATATGGCCCAGCCTTACTAAAGCTTAATTTTGTACCTGCTGAAGTGTTTGGTTAGGAAGAAGCTTTTCCAGTCTGGACAGAAAAAGCCACATCAGTGTCTGAATAGCCTTGTCATATGTTGGACCAAAGTCTCCTGGAAAAACATCCTGGAAAACAAACACATCAATCATTATAAAATGTATTAACTAGAACCATCTCAAAAAACAATGTGTAAAATCACATTTTCTGTTTTAACCTGTTTAATTTTAACTCACTTGGAAAAAGTTTGTTCTCTCTACAGGATCTCTCAGCAGATTTTGGACCAGGCCCATGAAATGAGAGTCAGATGTTTGTTGTTCTGTCTCTGACTGACATAAAAGAAAAAAAAGCATCAGAATTTGTTCACTGGTACTTTTATTTGACACCAAACGACCAACAAAAGTACAGGGCTGTACGTTAATGTTTTTAATTTAAAAACCTACAACCTTTATAGCACCTGTTCTATAACAGAACAAAAACTTGTAACATAAGAATTCTGTTACAGTCTCTACAAATTAAAAGTAGTTCTTATAATAACTTAAATACACTGACAAACAACTAGTAGTGCATATAATGAAAACACAAGAAATATCTTCAGACATGTTTATCAGTGAAATTCCAAAAAGAGCATTTTCCTTTATTCAAATTAGTGTAGATCTGTTCATTACGGAGGTTCGTCCTCGACAGCGTGACGAGTAGATGCCACACCAAACACCACCGCCTAAAGTGGCTAGCCTGGCCTGCCAGACTCGTCCTCTGTTTAATTCTGCACAGAGAAAGAGTCTGGTTACTCACAGGCAGAGAGGCACATGCGGGGCGGGACTAGCCAGCTCAAAAATAACCAATCAGAAAAAAGACAGAAATGTCGACTGTACCACGCAACGCTGTAGTTTTTTTTGCCTGTAGTAAAACAAGGCGTCTGGTGACAGCGCAAACATCTTTTTTTTTTTGTTGAAGAAAGGCTTTTAGCACTTCTACTTGTGGTTTTAAAGACATTCAAGTCATTTAGACCAGAGGAAAGAGCCGCAGCGAACTCCACTTCAGCCGCCATGTTCAACAAACTTGGCTTTATGGTGTGTGACGTATGCTACTCAGCGCTGATTGGCTCGGTTAGAATTCTCAAGGGGTGGGGTTATTTGAATAGGAGGGTTCCCAGACTCTTTGTGCAGAATTAAACTGAGGAGGAGTCTGGCGGGCCAGGCTATGAGGTGGCTGCATTTGCACTGTTTACTTTTTCTAAAGTCTATGGTTAACAGGATGTCCTTTTATCACTCTGTTGTTGGCTCTATTTTTCATTCTGCTGTGGTCTGTTGGGGTGCAGGCAGCTCTGACCAATACAGGCAGAGACTGAACAAAGCTAGCTTGGTTTTGAACAGCCAACTAGATTCAGTTGAGGAGATGTGTGAAAATGACCTCCATCTTGTAAAACCCCTCCCACCCACTGTATTCAACTATGAAGGCCATGGACAGCTCCTTCAGTGGCAGACAGACATCCAAGATGTAAAACTGAATTCTACTGTAGGACATTCATCCCCTCTGCAGTAAAAGTGTATAACTCCTCAGTTTAACAGGTACTGGCATTATCCTGGTACACAACAACATTGGTGCAATGCAATATTCAGTATGTGTTCAATTAATACTTGTGCAATACCAGATGTACATTAGTATGTCTGTGTCCTTTATTAGGGATGCACAGTTAACCGGTTACTGGTTAATAGCCATTAATGTTGTAACCGGGTAAAATTGTTTTGCCTGGTTAACTGCTTCCAAGTACTTCTGCTGCGTGTGGGTGCAATACATTTTGTGCCACTAGAGTGCGCAACAGCACAGCTATCAAAATGTTTACTGGGCAGCCACAGGAAATGAGCTTGTCACATGACCAAACAAATGTGCTTAAACACGGAGCGGTCAGTAAAGAGCACGGCATGGGAGTAGTTTGTTCTTATTCATTACACTCTTGGAACACAAGCCTCACATCAAATGGCCGAGTCTGGCAGAACATGGAGCAGCAAACTGAACCGAGACCAGTAACAGGTCGGTCTGTCATGATGCTCCTGCTTGCGTCTGACTCTTAATTTGTCTAGTAAAATAAAAAAAGTGTTATTATTTAGTTCAATGTAAGGAAGCTATTGTTTGAATTTGAATGATTCCTATTGATTTCCGATTTTGATTCTTTCAAGAGTCAGGGCTCAAAAACTTTACGTTTTAGATGAGCCAGCTAATCATAGGTCTTACTTGATGAAATAATCTGAACTTCAACATTAATTGTAATTCTATGAAAGAAAAAAAACATCACCTTAATTTAGACAAAAACATGTCAAGAAAGGAAAAAAGAGACACAATCACAACCAAAGTATGGGAACTGAAGAAGCCTCTAGGATTAGAGGCAAAACATCTACAAGATAAACAAAATAGTCCAGTTGTGTACAACCAAAACTCTTGAGATTATCATGTCCAGAATGACTCCGGTTCTACACCAATGGTTCCGTCAAAAGTGAAACTAGCTACATTTAAATGGGCACAAATAATTGGAATGAATTCCCTATCAGATCAAAACATTTTTGTGTAAGCATGTCAGTCGGTGTATTCTGATCCAATACGGCCTCATCGGAATGAAATTTCCTTCCGATTGATGAAGGTGGTTTTGCCTGATCATTATTCAGATTGATGTCCATGTACACACCTACTTGGATTGTTGGGGTAAAATAATGCCCACTTCGTATGTGTGCAACTTCAGCATGGCGTCTTTTTGCCTTTGCAGACGCTCAGGACATGTGGAAAATAAGGCGGGAAGGAAACAGAAGTGGTCTGTTTACTGAAACACTACAGGAGCTCAATGTCATTGAAAGTCTCGACGGCCAAAAGGCTAGAAAGGCAGAGTTACACACTCTAGTGTATCTAAAGATGCAGGGAGCGAGAATTCACCCAAGTATAGACCAAATCACAAACCGCTGGAAAGGTATTTTAACGCACTTCCTTCACAGACTTGTTTGTTTAAATGTTTGCCGCTGCGCACCTGCACATTGTGAAGGAAGACGGAGGAGGGGGCGCAATCAGAGTTTCTGCAGGCTGCACAGTACGAGCGACCAAAAGCTGGTATAATCGGCTCTGAAAGGCGTGGATTGGAATTAGCAGATCATGTGTATTTCCACGAAGATCAACCGATTTGGATCTATGGCCAAAGCCATACTTTAGAATGCCTCCACAGCTGCATATTTTCAATGACCGCACGGTAATACAAACACTGAAGCACATACGTATACCGTAAGCAAGTCAACTTGCAAGAAGATGCAGACATTGTGGGAATTGTAGTAGAATATAGAGTCCAGGGCTGTACGTTGACATTTTTAGCTACAAAGGTCGTAGGTGTTGTAGCACAGAACAAAAAGTTGTAGCACCAGCATAAAAAAATGTGTTAGTCTCTAAAAAACAAAAGTAGTTAAACACACTGAAAAACACCAGTAGTGCATATAATTAAAACACAATAACAACCACCAAAGCAGATTCCTGTTAGCCTGAGTCTCACTCATGTACTTGACAGTAAAGCTGATTCTGAAATAGCTTCAGACATTCTTGTCAGTGATCCGAGTGGTCAGAGGTCCGTCCTCAATGGCGTAGACATAGAACTGTAGACGCCACGCCGATCGCTACAGTGTATGATAGTCGCATTTTCGTGGTCTACTTTTTAGAAACTGTATGGTTAACAGGATGTTTTAGCTAAGGCTTTAGCTTCATGGAAATCTGGAGGTCTCAAACTGTGAGAGAGTGCCATTCATAAACCCGTTCACACATGAATGAGAGCTCACCTTATTATTCATCAAGCAAAATACGTGCGAGTTTGGTTTACATTCACAAAAAAACAAATAACAAAAGAACAAGTTCACGAATTATCATTCAATGAACTAGTTCAGGTACAACACCACTGTGTTGTATTTATGAATGTTTTTGGTTTGGTGCAGGTTGTGTTTTTGTGTCTTCTTTTTTTGTTTGTTTTTCTGTTAAAGTGCTTTGTTTAAAGGTTTAAAATAGGACTGCAGCTACTACATATTTTAGTATTGGAATACTCTATTGAATCCTCTAATCGAATATTCCACTTAAAATGTTTCAAGTGAAACGAGACCATGGTCTGCTGCTAAAAATATGAAATAAAACTACAAAATTATGAGGTTGACATGTCAGACTCTTGATATTAATATGTATTAAATTGGTGTCAATTCACGGTTTCCCATCTGATATTTATAGTTAGATATTTTATGAACAAAAATTGATTCAATAACATTTTAGGTTTGTATTAATATCACTCATCTTAGTCAAAATAACGTATGAATATATCCACAGTTAAACTATGATCAGTAAAATACTTCATTAATGTGTTCTGTAGTAGCTACTGGAAATGATAACAGTTAATTTCTGCTGCTATGAATGTAATTGTAACATATCTATTTTGTTTGGGTTAACAATAATCCAATTTGAATTGTTTGAAGATAGACACGTTTGTGAATTACGTGCTACAGTGGCTTGCCATATACCAGCTGCAGCGTGTGGAGCAGACACAAAGCACAACTACAGGCAGCGGTTCTGTTCCATGGCGCTGCAGACAGCTAAGAATAAGCAGGATGATGGAAACTTTTCATCCCCTTGTAGAGTTTAGATGTTCTTAGTAGAGCCCTGCACGGGACTAAAATCTGAGCCCGTGTCCGGCACGGCCCAAGGGGGTGGAGCCCCAGCCTGACCTGGTCTGAAAAGGTTTTCAGGATTCCCTGGCCCGACCCAAGCCTGACTTTTGTTTAACCAACTAAATGAAAACAAAGTGCGTCAATCCTGACCAATGTGTTAAAGGACGTGCAGGATCCGATCAATTTGTTTTTCCCTCATTTACCGTCACGGAGATAACGGCGCACTGGCTCTGGTGGTAATCAAGTTAAATTTTATCTCTTTGCAACAATTTTCACAAGAAAACAAAACAGTCAAAAGCAGGGCTTGTGTTGTGTTGACCGGATAGTTCCCGCATTTGACCGTTTATTTTGACGAAGAATAGAAAGAATTACCCCGACGCATGCAGACGAACTGACATTTTATTCTACGCACATCGCAGATGTAGCTAAATCACTCAAGAAAAGATTCCCATCTGAACATCTGAGCTGGACACTGCTCAGCGCAGCTCGCTGTCAGCGCATATGTGTACAGCGAGCTGAAGTTGTGGAGAATGGCTTGGAGCGCGTCGCAGAACCAGAACCATGCAGGAAGGTTCCTCCCACTGAAGCGAGTGTTTTCCAATCCCGGTCTCTCAGAGAGACTTGTCACTTAGAAAATGTTCCCTGATTACGAA